ATAAAATAACTAAATCGTTCAATAAAATAACTGATACAGCAACTCGAACTACTACGAATAACTTGGAAACATTACAAGAAAAAAAATATGACTTGTCCTTGTCTTTATATAACTCACCCCCAATCTCTAACAACTGTCTTCCTTTGTATCGGTCTCTTACCTGATAACCTATGATGATAGTTTGACGAAAATTAGTACACATAAATTTACCTAACATAAACAAGCAAATAAAATACTAAAAAACTAATAAACATAACCAGGGGAAGCTACTCTAAAATTTACCAACAAAAAAATCAAAACTATTCACAATATGTAACATAATTATAATTGTTATCTCCCCTTTAGGCAACAGTTGGGGAACCGACGCGGACGGGACTGCGTGTATAGGCTGCGGCTATCAGGAAGAATTCTACGGCTGCGCGGACGTTCGCATTCTCGTCCCGGGGTCCACGGAAACTTTCACGACGACATCTACCTCTCCCCGTCCAATGTCGACAACAACCAGCCCGTCACTGTGAAGGAAACGCCCACACCCCAGGTGCCCACGGCCCAGTTAACCACAGCCTACGTCGGCACTCAACAAGGATGCCGGAGTTATGGAATTTACCAGACTGTGCCGGGAATGGACACCTGGTGCTTGCTCAACTGCGCGGCGGGGTATTGTCCCAGCACGCACTGCGTCTGCGGCTAACTCTTCACGTCTGCAAGTAACACTTGACGTCTGCAGCTGAGGGTCATGCATATAATTTAATAAGTTTTCAAATTTTTGAACACACTTTCTCCACCCGTCAACAAGCGTACACAAGACCCCCCCCCTCCCAACGTCCGCAAACATTAAATTAAATTATATTAAATCTCCAAACTTACTTCCATTATGAAAGTTAAAGTTGTGATTTTTTTTTCTAAGCGGTATTTTGAAATGTTAGCAGCTTTAATGAAATGATTTATTCTTTTCGGAAATATAAGTTATTTTTATAAAAAGAATGATATTGAATTTGTTGATTCATTTTTTTTTTTTAAGTTTTGAAAGTATAAAAGGATAGCTATATGATGAGCAATTGTTTTATTTTAAGGTTTTGTTTCATATTAACACGTTTTTATTACATACAGATATTGCGGTATTAAATGTAACATGTTGCATCCGCACGCGTCCACGAAAGTCGATTTTTTCTTTTTTTGTATACTTAAATAAAGTTAAGTTTGTATCCCTCGAAAGTTTTCCACATGTTTGTATGTGCATTTGGTTTATTTGAAAAGAAACTATTTTGATAATAATGTTAACCGTTACGCTGCAATGTTGCCGTTGGTATTTCGGTTCCAAAAAAAAATGCGCAATCGGAAAACTGGCAGCGAAAAATGCGCAAACAAAAATGCGCAAATACAAACTAATTATACTAGTATACTTTATTTATGTAATATTTTGGGAAAATATATACATACATTTACTCTTAATGACTTTAAACGCTTGAATAAAGAAAAAAAAATGTTACGCACTTTTTTGTGCGCAGTTTCCGTTGCTGATCTTTCGGGTCACTGTTATTTCAGATAAATGTACATGTTTCATTAAACAACTTATAAAAATTATATGTTATGATTAAGCTATAAGTTGTAATACTTTAAAAAGGGTTCTTTTTTTTAGTTGAATGAAAACAAGATAAACGTATCAAAAATAAAATAATAAAACTCGTCTTTACGTATCTGTTGTTCAGTGTGGAAAACATGTAAACAAAGGCAAATGGGAAACAACATAGGTATTTGATAAAACACTTGGAGGATTCAGTATAGATGTGTGGGATTTATGGCAGTAGTGGACAAGTTTAGGAAAGAAAATAAGATCAGGATTAGCTTCGAGGCAGGGTTGGGATTAAATATATGTCAGTGTTTCTTCGAGGACTTTTTCCTCCGTGGATGCACTTAATATTTTCTGTGGGGGGGGGGGGGCTAAATTTTCGAGGCGAAGCGGACACTGGTAAAAATATGTTTTCTACATAAATTCCACTTCGTTCGAGGGGGAGTAGACTTTCTTAGGGGGGTGGGCTCCGACCCCTTCCTCCCCCCCCCTGAAAAGGTACCTGGAAGAAATTCTGATATATGTTTGTAAATAATGTCATAATATGATCACGAATAGAGTTAGTGGCTGGGTTTAGGAATAAAACGGTCCTCAAATATAGAGTTAGAAATAATTTTCGGATAGGGTTAGGATCAGTAAAATGTTGGTTATTAGTGTCAGTAATAACTGGGGTCAGGTTGAGAAAGTTTCCGAGTTACGTCAATGATGACGTGAGGACGTGCTACTGAAACCCAGTCATGTGATAGCTACCCGGAAAAATCCAAAACAGGCTTGGTAAAAAATCTAATAGGTTTTGAACCCAAATATGGCATACCGTACTCCAGAATGTGATCCAAATAAGACAATACGCCTAGCCTGATAACCTACAACAATCACAAGATCCGTATCTCACTGATATCGGGGTGAATCGCCTCCTATATATTTGATAGGCCAACTTTATTACACCAAACAGCGAATAACTCCAGTAACACCGGCCGTAGAGTGAGGTTAAACTCTTCAACTAAAACGGAAAGTATTTGACATTCAGAAGAATTTTAAAAACTCTACTAGGTACGTGGTATTATATTATATGTGTTTTATCTTAGCTGTTTATCCATAATCAAATAAAATGTCATTGTTAAAAGATATTAAGTAAAGAATCCTCTTTAGACCTAACGATCCATTGGGCAGATGAAGTAGAGTTCATATGTTTCTTGACCTCGGCATATGAAGAAAATATGTTGTCAGCACTTAAATGCACCTTGTTTAGACAATGTGTTGAAGCGATTACTTAATAAAGAAAGTGAGATTCATTATAGAAACCTGAGATAAACGATTTTTTTTTTGTTTCATAGATAGAAAAAAATATGTTTGTACACTTTTTTATATAGCAAATACAAATTAATTAAGAATGTCTGCTTGGGCAATATTTAATATTATTCTTTTTTCTCTTTATTTTTGCTTACATATGTATTGATTATCAAAATTTCACCTTTAAATTTGATTAAGAATGACTATTTGGTAATATATAATAATTAACATTTTTCGGGCAAACGGCTTTTGGGCAAGTGGCTTTCGGGCATTTGTCGCGTTCGGGCAAGTGTCCATTTGGGCGTTTGTCACATTAGGACAAGTGTTACGTTCTGAGTTGGTTTCAGATAAATGACAACTCTTCGTGACTACTTTAATTACTTTTATTCCGTCTCAAATACCTTCAAGAATAGCCCTCGTCCTAACCGCTAGCAACTAACTCCAGACAATCATTCACTCCCGCTTTTATACCGCATTCGACCTTGGGATAACAATACATAAACACACCGGGGTTAACAATATTCTAGGGTGAACTCAACTCACACACGCACGACTATTCTACCCTAGTTCTAAACTGACCTCAACTGACCCGTAGCAACAAGTGTCCATTTTGGGCGTTTTCTGCATCCGGGAAAATGTGTTTTCGGGAAAACGGCCTTCGGACCAAACGGCATTCCGGCAAGTGTATTTTCTGGCATATCTCGGGACCCGGACAAAAGCTATGGAAGCAAATAGAGAACAGAACGGCCGGCTGAAATCGGAATCAACAGGTCATACGGCGCATAACAAGGTTGACAAGAAAATACATAATTGTGTTGGGGGAAACTTGTCCAACATTACATTAAGAACGAAGAAGAGAAGAAGTTATTTCGCAATGGCTCTAAAATAAATTTAATCGCAGCTCACACTGAAAAACTTAACGAATATGCAGTGGGTATTTAGCCGCCCTAGGTAAAAACTTATTTAAAAACGCCCCTTTCTCACAGATTAATTACTAAAACATATGTATAAGAAAACAATTTATTAAAAGTGACATATTAATTTATTATCAATTGCATACACGTTTATAAGAAGACATCAAAATCAAATTATTCTTGTCTCCTTCGTCTCAAAAGTTTGTACTAATTCCTTCAATTCCAGTTTGCAAGGGTAAAACACATTCTATTGAAATTGTTGCTAAGTCCACGAGTCTTCTTTGTACTTACAGACATAGCCCCCCCCCCCCCCTCCCCCACCTTAGAAAATTTCAAATGCTTCTCCCCCCCCCCCCCCCCTCCCTACCAAAAACCGAACAAACTATTTTTGTTTAAAACTTCTGCTATATATAATTTTTATAATAGCAAATAATAACTTAAAGTTGTATTTATATGAAAGCGGTCAACCTAAGGTGCAGTAATTTGGAAGTTGATGTAAAGTTAAGCAACGAATGCTCTCCCATTTGGAAATCCTAATACCAACATTTTATTCAAGGGATATAACTTTCAAAAGAATAGCTAAATTAACAAAGTGTAACTAAGACATACTTAAAAAACACATTGATACTATCTAATTATTATTATGTAATAAATATCAGAAATCTTTTATAGTAGCTATGTACCATGTCAAAAGAATATGTTTTATCGATTGACTACTTAACTGTAGGTTTGGTTTGAAGTCTAAATACGATAGTTTTATTATAACATACTTCTTGTTAATTTTGATTACGTACAAATAAAATGTAAATCAAACTAATCAAGCTATTCAAAATTTTGGATCCCCTAAATAAAGGGATGCTTTTCTAAAAATCAAATACAGGTAACTTTTTAAGACATTGCTATAATTTTTTATTAAATATAAAAAAAATTAAATTTAAAAAAAAAATTTACGGTTAGTTCTAAATTCCAGCCTATATAATATTATAGGGGTAATATAGATTCTCTAAAAAAATCAAAGATTTTTCAGCTAGAGAACGCCTACCTTTCTTGGTAGTGTGTTCCGTCCTGAATTGAAATCATCTTACTTACGATAAACTCGACTACTCGATATACTCTACTACATTCACAAACTTCGTTACCTAAACTTAACTTAACTCGATCCTCCAGAACTATGACACCAACTCGCTTAACTTCACCAAGCTCTACAAACGATACTCCTAATCAACAACGATTTCACTGGACCTACTACTATACGTCAACAGTCAAAACAATTCGATACCTTAATACCACAAGACTCGATATTCCCGAACTCCAGAACTACGATACCTCATCACCCACATTCTCATTGCTCTACTACCAATCAGATTCCACTTAACTTTCAACGATACAACAGCCAAATAAAAAATACGACTTTAACACTTCTATACTTTATACCTACAAAACCATATCAGCAACATCTTCCACCGTTAGTCTCAAATCTAAACGATTCATCAAACCTTACCAAACAATTACAATAAATTGAACACCCCGTCATTACCAAACTCTATACACTAGAACAGATTTCTAATTCATAGTCAGAGAAAACGAGACTTAAAAACCAAAATGTCACGTGTTTTGAAAGGCCATGTCTATCGTTGGAGCGATCATTAAATCAACATTAAAATTAGATAACTGTTTGAAATGTTCGAAATTTGAACTACGGACTTATTTAATCGTTTTCTACAACAATTATGTGACACCAAAATAAAAAGGCAAAGTGATTGGTAAAAAGCTCCGCGACATTTCCAAATTAAGGAGGTGGTTTGTGCATTTTCACCATCGCGGATAAATATAGGGCTATATAGACCAAAATTAGGGGGGGGGGTAAAATTGATAGTTAGTCCTGGGCGCCGAAATAGACCGCTACACCTTTTGTATAATATTATATATAGTTATATATAGTTATGAAAGATAATCAAAGTTACTAATTATTAGGTACTTTTTGATAATAGCGATTAAACATTTTTGCGCCCCCCCCCCCCGGGATGGCGCCCTATGCGATCGCCTAGTTCGCCTTATAGGTAGCGCCGGCCCTGTGAATATGGCTTTATTGATTGATGTTACAATTGTACAATTTATCTCTTTAACCAGAATCCCTGTAAAACAAGATGGCGCAAATGGGCCCCTGGACAACCTTTATATTTTTCAAGCTGGCAATGCTTCTGACGTTGTGGGCTGCGTCGTTTGCAACCCGAGGTTGGCTGTATGGGTGGGAAACATATCCGATTTCAGAGGAGATAGACGTCGGTCTGTTCAAAACTAGTTATAACGGCTACACGAAGGACACAATGGACATTATACCCGGAAGTAGTAAGTTGACGTCTGAAGCTTGTTTCTGGCACTCTAAATTTAAACTTATTTAATTTATGTTTATAGTTTAGTTGAAACCATATTATCGTGTTGTGCTAAAAATATAGATATAGTGTTAGACTGTTTACCCGAAAGTCTCGAGTTTGAATTCAGGTTCAAGTCAGTAGAACGTCCATGAGTTTACCCAGCTTTGATAGGTGCCTAACTCACGTTAAGGTAAGTAAAGGCGGCTCGGCATAGTGCTGACCACACTATCTCTTCATATGCTGAGGTCACAGAAACAGATGAACTCCACTTATATCATGGACCATCAAGTTTCGAAAGAGAAAATATGACCCATGCTACTTTATGTTTAAAGAGCTGTCCCAGATATGTAAACTAATATAACCTTGTCATAACTCCCTTTATGATAGAACTACTGTTGTCTTACTTCCAGAGAGTTATCTAAAAGCTACCATCGGTCTTATGGCAGTGGGTGGGGGCTGTATGCTGATCTGCCTTGCTTTTGTTATCGTTGCTGTTCTCAGCAGGAAACAAATTTTCATCATCTTAGCAGCACTGGACGCGCTCGTTGGAGGTAGGTCGGAACACATCAGTAAATTGTTATTCATCTGACAAACTACACTACCGTGTCTCCCATCTGACACACTAAACTACTGTGTCTCGCATCTGACAATATAAACTACCATGTCTCGCATCTAAAACTTAGCTACACTGTATCGTATCGTACTTTAGTCCAGCTTATAACAATAAACGTAATTTCCATAACCTGTATCTTACAGTGATAAAAAATTATCTAAGTAGTTAATGACATAGATTTTTTAATCAGTTTCGCTATGTGTTTTTTAATCTAGGATATTTAAACCTACAATGTGTGGCAAAGTTACAATGCGTTGATTAAGTCTTAGAATTACTTCTATCTCTACACGTATAAGTAGTTAAATAATTTTATAAATGATTTCAATGTTTTAATTAATATGTAGATACAATATATTTAATTTGTTCTGCTGTAGGTCTATCGGGATTGAATTTAATTCGTTCTTGAATGGACAAAACTACTAGGGGACTTTAGGTCAAGCAAGGCAAATGATGTCGAGTTAATCGTTTTATTTGTGGCCGGGTGAACGACTAGAGTCCCCGTACATTTTTACTGTATCGTCTTAAGTAATTCTTATAAACTTTCTTCGAACTGATAACATTAAACCAGTGGCGGAACTAGAAAAAAAGGGCCACCCCGCAAAAATTTGTTTAGCCCCCCCATATATATATATATATATATATATATATATATATATATATATATATATATATATATATATATATATATATATAGGCCTATATATGATATGATATATATACAATCACAAAATCCGAACATAAGATACTCATTATACTGGCCTGTTCGGGATTTGAGATACATCAATTTAAAAAAATTTCAACTTCATGTCAAGTGAGTTAGTGGGATAGTGTGTTTTGTGAAAATCAGTTTTAATTAATTTTTGATAGAAGACAACTTAGACTTCTGTCGGTCAAAAATAATATAAAACATTAAGCTTTGTATAAGTAATGGTGTCTCGTGTTATGTTTATTTTTTATTTTTTTTTGTATTTATATTATTAATTTTTTAAACATTATTGATTTAATACATTTCCTTTTTATACAATGTCATTCTTTAGTAATTACTTATAAAAAAAATAATAATTAAGAGAAGGAAATGGTTTTTTATTTGTTTAGTATAAATCTCTTAAAAGGAGCTTATGATCACCCCTATTTGACTATTTAAAAAAAAAAGGGGGAAATAAGTCATGGAAGTGGTTCGAACATCTGCTTATCTTTGATAAGTTTAATTGTAGGAGAAAGACTCGGCTTTCACAGTGGTTTAAAAGCAAAGGGAAAAAGAATATACAAGAGCATGGGGTGGTGTCTATAGAATAAAGATAATCCAACCGCAGCTACGGTAATTTTTTACAAAACAGCCAAAAGTCAAAAATAAAAGAAATTTTTTTTAACTATACATTTTTTTTTTATTATTGTCGGCTCTGGGCCCCTAAATGGCGTGCCCCCCCCCCCCCCCCGCATTGCGGGGTCTGGCGGCACTGTAGTTCCGCCCCTGCATTAAACCATATCCGAAACCTAATTCCCGAACACACATCCTAAAAGAAATTCCCCACTATCCACTGCAAAACAAATTTCCGACCCCGCAACCCAAACCAAATTCCCGACAACACGCCGTGTGACAAATTCCCGGCCACAAACCCCGAAGCATTTTCTCAACCACACACCGCGAATCAAATTCCCGACAGCACACACAAACAACAATTCACGACCACACCGCGAAGCATACTCTTCATCAGACACCCCTGAAAGCTAATCGTCAACATAACTCACTAGGTATAATTCTCCTCATATCATCTTTTGCGCCCTAAGTATAATCCTCCTCCTATCATCTTCTACTCTCCAGTTATAATCTTCGTATAACCTTCTACTCCCCAGGTATAATCCTCCTATAATCTTCTACTCCCCAGGTATAATCCTCCTATAATCTTCTACTCCACAGGTATAATCCTCCTATAATCTTCTACTCCCCACGTATAATCCTCCGATAATCTTCTACTCCACAGGTATAATCCTCCTATCATCTTCTACTCCCCAGGTATAATCCTCCTATAATCTTCTACTCCCCAGGTATAATCCTCCTATAATCTTCTACTCCCCAGGTATAATCCTCCTATAATCTTCTACTCCACAGGTATAATCCTACTCTCATCTTCTACTCCCGAAGTATAATCCTCCTATCATCTTCTACTCTCCAGGTATAATCCTCCTATAATCTTCTACTCTCCAGGTATAATCCTCCTGACCTCCGTCATCATCTTCTACGCCAAGTACGACTCGGATTACCTGTCGGTCCACTACAGCTGGTACCTGGGTCTGTCCGCCAGCATATTCAGCCTCACGACGCCAGCCACCATAGCTTCAGCCATGAGACGAGGGGAACTCAACTTCAACGCCGTCCCCTTCCAGCAATTCAAAAGTTAACCACAATAAAAGCCGCGATGTAAATGTTGTTGCGCAAAACTTTCTCACGTATAAGACACAGGAACACAATATAGGCAGGGATGTACTTTGGATCAGTTTCTTCCAGGCATCTCTTTGTGGGGAGCTCCACCGGAAATGGAATTTATATAGAAAATTTATATTTACTTTTAACACTGTCAGCACCCCCTCTCCCCCCACCCCGAAAATTTCAGGTGCAACCCTGGAGAAAAAAGTCTGGAAGAAACACTGCTTTGGATTAAGCGATCCATAATTATATATATATATATATATATATATATATATATATATATATATATACGTTGTAAAAATGATTCCTTTTGTTATCACTAATATAATATTAATTTTTTATTTGAAAATATTTTTTTTAAGAATTTCGTGAAAAAATATTCAACAAGAAATATACATAGTTTAAATGTTGAGGTCTAATTAGGATTCAAAATAAATTTTGTACCCCTATTTTGTTATACAGAAAAATGCATTTGTTTGTTATTAATACTTTACATTTTAAAAACTAAGCTTGGTTAAGTTCTGATTATTATTTACCGATTTAAAATAAAACGAGATGATGCTAATTACACAATCAATACAGGCCAACCATGAAATCAAAACTGATTGACCATCACATGAACCTCCAACCATGTATGTAATTTCTTGTAATGAACACCGAAGTTAAAAAAAAATGTAAATTAAAATAGAGAGAGAAACCCAGTATGTTTTTCAACAATAGGGTAAAACAAATATGAATATGAAAGTTTGATCCTCCACAGAAAATAAAAAAAAAAATAAGAAACTAGCTGAATACTAACTGGTACTCACTTAAGTAACTTGTTGATAGAACTTAATTTTGTATTTTTTTTTAACTTAGAACATGCCCAATAATCAAAATGCTTTGCTTGACTTAAGACCGAAAGCCATCTGACTAATACACGTACGCGTTTTTTAAAATTGCAATATTAATGAGACTAAAACGTAGTTATTTCGTAAATAACTAACACATGGGACAGGGTAGTGGTATGGTGGAACCAGCAAACGTTCCAAAGTTTTGAGTTCGGATCCCAACTCTGGTGGGTAGCAAACTGACATTGAGGAAGACTAAGACGGCTAGACATAATACTGACCACACAACCCCTTTACATGCCGTGGTTAATGAAACAGATGTACATTATTCCTTGTTCCCAATTTGTTTTAGGCACGGATGGGAAAAGATGAATAACAAACATGTACTACAATATAACATTTCTTATTCTTAAACTATACATGCTTATGTTGATTCCAAGAATTTAAAAAAGAAACACAAGTACATGTTTGGGTCAAAATGGATTTTTCGCGCCATAACAGAACAATAACATTTGTTACTATAACAGAAACCGTTTTTTAAGAAAAATAATCATGTGGTATAAGTGTTTTCTAACACCTCTAGGCGTTCTTCTACCACCTGCCAAATATCAAGGGGGTTCGTTCGGAAAGTGTTTTGTCGTAATATAGCCCATATAAGGCGCCGGTCAGTCGAAGTCAGTTTTGACCCTTTCTCCGTTGACTTTGAGGCCAACCGGCACCGGCCTTCGTGTTCTATTGCCCCAAGGCAGGATCCTGTCAAATTTGAAGTGCCTGCGGCGCCGGGAAGTTGACCACTTTGCTTTATATATATAGATATGTGTGTGTATATATATATGTGTATGTATATATATATATATATATATATGTATATATATATATATATATATATATATATATATATATATATATATATATATATATATATATATATATATATATATATATCTGTGTATGCATATATGTGTGTATATATATGTGTTTATATGTGTTTGTATATATATATATATATATATATATATATATATATATATATATATATATATATATATATATATATATATATATATATAAATATATATATATGTATATATATATATATATATATATATATATATATATATATATATATATATATATATATATATATATATATATATATATATCGATGGCTACTGTCACAAACCGTCTAACCGTGAAAATGTAAATTTTACAGCTGAGACAAAGAACCGATTATTTCATTCCTGATCGCTCAAATTAAAAATTCTTTAGTTATATGTGCGAAGAAACTCTTTACCGACTTTACTGTAGTTTTTTTTAAAATAAGCTTTGTAAATATTTACAAAATTATAGCAGGTTTTAAAAGATAGTTGGATTACTCTTGCTGCCAAATCGTCTATCTGTGCGCGCAAACTTAGTCATTTTGAACTGAGATTTTTGGTCTCAGCCAAGTTCGTTTTTTTTGTCCAAGGAACTCATGATTTCGTTATGTCTAAGTTTTTAAGTTATTATTCACACCTAATAAAATATAGAATATGATTTTGTTCTCATATTTTTATTATTTGAGTTTATTCTACATTACGAGTTGATTTTTAGTAGGCCTACAGCTGTTTAAGTGTGGTAAAAAATTACTTATGGTTTACTTATTTTTAAAATGGGCATTACAGAAAAATGCAACCAAATTTTAAAATATGTTTAGTTCATATTTATTATTTTAAAAAGTCACATGAGAAAACATTAAAATGTGTAAAATGTTTTAAAATTAGGCAAATTATCATAAAAGTGTGTGTTTATGACGTTGTTGTACACTCAAACATCATGTTTTCATACACCATGATGAGGTAGTGGTGTGGAAAAACCCATGCCCTAAAAAACACCTAAGAAATATATTATTTAAATATTTCAGTTTCTAAAAATACACACTTGGTAATGCCTCTAAAGGAAATCCTCATGAAAATTTGCTAACGTGAGCTGTGTAGGATTATTTTTAGAGTGATTCTCATATAGACACCTTTTGTGGTCAGCTAACACTTTGGAAAACCTTCTAATTTATTCAGACAGAAAAACAAATAGATATGTTGTAGACCACACATCTTGTTTATAGTGCATTCTAAGTCAACTCCTGATAACCCATTACACATCAACACTGTAAACAGAGACTGAATATTCGAGGGAAATACTATCTATATATATATATATAATTCTCTTCTTGGAGACGCTAGAAAACAAGCTGTAAGAGCGCTCCCTACCACCCCACCCCTACATGGTCTGGTGAGCTGTGGTTCACGCTAAATGTTTACATTCGTAGAGCCGGGTTTAGTGACGGCTATTAGGGGCAGATAATTTAGTTTGAAACGATTTTAAACTTAGAGGAGGTAACTAAGAGGAGGCTACTTTCACGGCGGGGGGGGGGTGTAGGGTAGGGGTTGGGAGAAAGGAGGGTGGGGGTAGTATCGTCCTTAACGACCTACTGATAGTGTTTTAAAGAAAATATTTTCAGTGGCAGCATTGGTACTGTCGAATTCACAAATTATGAATTACTGAAAGGTAGAAAATAAAACAACTAAATAGCGGCGTATGATATGCCGCGGGTCGGCTCGTGATATATATTATACAATCCTAGGTAGGCTAATCAGCCCAGTCTGAAGTGCGGACAAGTGTGCTGTTAAGCCTTTTTTAAGAGCCTTAATTTTTAAGGCCCTGCAAACTAAGGGTCAACCGGAAGCAAGGAATATAGGTTAAAGGTACAGCCATGATTACTGTTATAACTGAGTCCAAACCCCTCGTCCCACCGCTAGTGGGTATCTACCCCACCCCCCTCCTGCCCCACACCTGAACTGTGACAGCGTGTGCTGCCCTCCCCACCCCCACCCCACCCCTGAACTGGGACACAATGCATCAGTCCCACCTAGGATTTTGCAGGCGCCCTTCCCTCCCCCTCGCTGGAATGCCGGGGTCATGCAGGGGTTAAGGAACCCAAAGGGTCAAGCTTGGACCAGAAAGATAGGACAGTTGAACGTTAGGCTTGCGAGGATGTAGTCGTGTTTTGTGTCTTGTGATGTGTGATAGGGCTAGCCCCTAAAGCTGGTCACTATTAATGTTCAAGATCATTTCCTTTTTTTATACAAGACTAGAGTAGTAACCATTAAAGTTGTTCAGCTGAAATTGTGTTGGCGTTTTATTTGAACCTCTCACTGCAGTCATCACCACCATCAAAACAAAGCAAACAGATGACTTCGTTTCGTAACAATTACCATGGCAACAAAGATTGCGGTGAAAGCTGCGCAACCCACTACTATAATACAAAGGACTCAGTAACTTAATATCCAACTTGACACCCACAAGCACTCGAATAAATATATTAAATTAAAACAACCCTTTTAAAATGCTTTCCATATTTCCATGATTAAGTTCAATTAAATATGAATTAAATTGAATGTTATTGTGACAAGTGACCTCGAATTTCCTCTAAACTCTAAATGTACAAAATTTTGCAATTGATGTATTGTAATTGTTGACTTAAACCGCACTGAATTAAATTATTTCTTATAAATTTAAATCACCTTAATATTTTATTTTTAAAGGAGAACTTAAAGAATTTTGTGGTGGACTACAATGAAATATCAGCAAAGCTTAACCAGGTAAATACAAAAAGCATAGACCTATTGTTTAACACAGCTTAAAAATTACTTCCACATAAGTTGTAAATTTAAATATTTATGCATAAAAAAGTGCCTGATAAGCAAAGTAAAAAGAAAGTATTATTATTATTATAGTGCAAAAAAAAAATCAAGATCTCGAAATCTCAATGTTTAATATCTCCTTGAGTCAGAAAACTTAGTTCTGCAATTTTGTCTGTATTTCTATGTGCGTCTGCAAACACGATAACTTGACTACCGTTACAGTTAGGTTGACGAAAATGTCCAACAACTTTTAAGTGTTTTTCGATAACAAATGTTCACACAAAACTAAAGCTGCTTTACAAGGATGGTATGCATCTAACAAATGCAACAAATGAAAACCCAAGTTGCTCTAAATTTATTTTAGTTCCACATATCCTATCACAGAACCAACATGTAAAAATGTTAAAGCTCATTCATTGCAATCTGTATTCTCTTTAGATTAGATAGGCCGCAAAATTGATAGCTGTTGCTTACTGATTTTTTACGTTTCTCCTTCATTTTTATAAGGAAAAACCACATTTTACAAGAGTTCTTCTTGCAGCTCAGCCTATGTGAAAAGCAGTGATGATCGCTGCTGCCACATAAACAATCCAAGAGTATTCTGTTGAAAAAAAACTACTTATAAAATATGATAAAATGTACTAATCACTGTTTTAAATGTGTAGAAATACTTACTTTTATTTATGTTAAACGCAGTGAATAAAGTTACATTTAATTTTGGTAATTGTGATGGGTGTCATAGATTTATCTTGTACTAAAATTGACCCAATATTTCCAAATTTGTATATTCCTTTTTTATATATTTGTCACCAAAAACAAGATCATAAAAACTGCTAAGTGTAAGGAGTTTTAAAATGCGTTTGTAGGTAAAACAAATTATTCGGTTTAAAATGAATTTATAGGCCTATAGCAATATTATATTTATGTAAAGTAATACAATTTAGAGAAATAATTAATATTAAAAGACGTATTTAATTTTACAACTTCAGAAAAAATGCTTTCTAATTTTCAAAATACGACCTCCATAGAAATGGAATATGTTGCCGATTGAAATGTTTTATGCATAAGTATAAACCTATAATACTATAATGTAAAAGCTATTTTCCGCTATAGCTTTAATGATATGTTTCGTTATTTTTAATTCGTTCCTATAGGCCTACTATTATTAATTTAAATAGGACGCACTTAATAGATCTTCTGAATCAAGAATATAATTATAATGAACTTATTTCCATTTACTAATAATCTAAAAAACGCTAATCTAGAATTAAGCTTTATCGGAGAAGAGGTCAAATCAAAATTTATTACTTAAAAAAAAAGGACTATAAGTTTAATACACATTGAATAATTAGGCCTTAAGTATTTTTATTGAAGTATTTCAGTCCTTAAATCTATCTATCTACCTACCTACCTTTCGATCTATATATGTATATATATATATAGGCCTATATATATATATATATATATATATTTATATATATATATATAAATTATATATAAAGCAATGTATGTCTGTGTCTGTCTGTCTGTCTGTCTTTAATGCATTAGTACACCTCTCATCACATCGCCGTGAACCTTTGGGAAGATGTCTTAGAACATAATATTGGTAACGCATTGATGGAACCCTTCTTATATATTTCATCAGACTTTCTTATAAATCTAAATCATTGCTTCTTAGTAATGGAATTGGTTAATTATGATATAATTGAATTTAAAATAGGCCTAATATTTATTATTTATTTTATAGTTTTATTTTACAGTGTAGAATGGCTTCCCTTGAAAACTCTTACGGATAGTAAATTAATAAGAAACATTTAGGCCTACAGCATAAATGTGCAGTCTTGACAAACACATCAGCGTGTCAGCCTTCTGCCACTAAGGTCACATGTACGAATCCATTTAATTTTATTTATTGTCATTATCTAGTCATCACTATTCCTTTTACTATTAGGTACAATGGGACACGTGTGATAGATTTTGCCAGCAATTGAAAACAAAAATGGCGGAACTTTAAAAATTGTATCGGCAAAGTTTTGAGTTAAAATTTCTATGAGTGTTTTATGAAGTGGGGATTTCAGAGTATTGATCACGGAGTTCCTGTAGAGCCAATCAGTGTTTGTCTTACTAAGGTGAAACTTCAGGCCATAACTTAGGCTCAGAGGCGTATCCAGGTTTTCGTTGTAGGGGGAGCGAAAAGAGCAAAAAAAGGCGCCGAATTTTTAACACGTTCTATATACGTGTATTTTATTTATATATATACACACATATATATATATATATATATATATATATATATATATATATATATATATATATATATATATATATATATATATATATATTTATATATATATATATATTTATTTATATATATATATATATATTTATATATATATATATATATATATATATATATATATATATATATATATATATATATATATATATATATATATATATATATATATATATATATATATATTATTACTAGCTGTATGTCCTTACTTCGCTTTGATGTAAAATAAATTGAAAGTAGCACTCTGAAGAAATAAGAAAAAAAACACACAATGTAGGCCGACAAAACAAACATTGTATCAATCTAAACAAAAAAGCAAACAAAATATACACACTACAACCAAAAACAGTGAACGTAACACAATCTGTTTTGTAATTCTTGTAAAAAAGATTCTTACATAATAATTCCTGGGAAATTATTTAAGACAAGTGAAATAGGGGAAATAATTACTCTCTTAATATAAATATAATATCTACACATTTAATTATTAATGTCAAAACAAATAAATAATTACTTTAGAATGTAATGAAATTATTTAACGCTATTCGTATTAACAAAATGTTTTTGTCTATAATCAGAATTTAATATATCGTCATCATAAATGCTAAAGTATTACAGCATAATGAAAGTTTTTGAAATCAGAGTTGGTATAAAACCACGCTTTTCGATAAAAAAGATAAACATTCGGAATAACAGCCTACATTTAGCTAAATATCGGTCTTTTAGTTCAGATAATATATTTTTTAATTTACTACTGCTTCTTTGTGTTCCTTAAAGATTATTTTTTAACATAGTGATAGGTATGGGTTAGATCACTGTATTAATCACACACCTTTTTACTGTCCGGTTACTTTAGGTCAATTATCCCACCCAATGTATCGTATGTGCCCGCCTCTCACTATTCGACAGAGACAGAATTTTTTTCATAAACATTATTTTAAAATATGATTTATTTTTATTCATTTGTTACAGTTTTAATTTTTTTTTTGAATGCCTAAAGTTTATTAAATATCTTCGATACTTGTCCCAACTTGTCTAGCGGCGAGTCAGACTGCAGTATTTACGTTTTGTAAATACATTTCTCTGTGTGTATGCAATTTGAAAAAAATGCCAAATAATTTTATTATTTTGAAACATTTTTGTTTATTTTTTATTAATACATTATGACTATAAGAAAATATGAAAGTAAATTATGGGAAAATGACAAGTTATGGACGGAGTTTGTCGATTTAAAATACGTGATGCCCGCCACCCTACCGATATTTTAGAATGTGCTCTAGAGTAAAAAAAAAGGTTGGGAACCCCTGCTCTACACAATTGTGGTGGTGAGGTGTGGGGGGGGGGGGAGATAACCAACTCAGAGTGAACATAGCGTCAGTTTTTAGATGACTGTTCTAAACATACATATATTACACATGTATACTGATTCAGAAATAGATTTAAATAAGTAGCAGTGGTATTATGACAATATTTTTTTACAGAGGGGTCCATGGGGGAGGGGGGTTGTAACTGTTTCATATAATTTGTAATCGTAATCACTATCGCCCAAACTGTAAGAATACTACTACTTTATCGTGATGACGTTGTTGACCGTGTCAAAATATCCCCACCGCTACGCAGTTCGCCCATAAGTAAATTTAAATAGAGGTGCCACATCAGTTGTTTGTTTCTGTATTGTAATTTTCAAAAAATTAATCACACGATTCTAACTGTATATATAAAGTAATTATGTGTGAAGTTTTATGTATAACATTTTCTAATGCAATTATTCGTAAGCAAATACATTATACAGTTGCCTTAAACTTAACACCCCTCTTGCCAAGTGGTACTACCGGTAGAGGATTTTTTTAAATTTCAATGCATCGTAATGGTTATTTTTAGAATGGCAAACTGATGCAGCTGTTAATACGTGTTGTAAACGTAGACACTACTAGACTAGTACAATAATGCTTAATTGCTGCATGAAAAGACATCTTGTGATTTACATAGATGTGCCGACTAAAAATATTTTTTAAACAATTATTGTTTAAAACTTTGAGTTTAAAAAGTTTCCAAAAAGGCGCCACTTTGCTGAAAATGGCCAGAGGGGAGCGGCTGCTCCCCCTGCTCCACCCCCCCCCCCCCCCTGCGTACGCTACTGGTTCTCTGTTCCATGAGAATATTTGTCCGTGATAACATTTGTCCTGAGATCTCTTGTCCGTGAGATATTTTGCCAGGAATATTTTGTATGATATCATGGTGTTGAGATCATTATTCTCCTGTCACCTATATTACAGTTCTTACCTTTCAAATGATCCATCCCGTTTGTAGAATAGCTGATTGTGATATCTGGGCTTAAATCATAGCACATGATGTGGTGATTGTTAGGAGTCATCGCGCTTACTCTATTTTTCCTCGGAACATAACCTGGAAGAACTGTAAGTGTCAGTATAGCTCTTGATGGAGTAGTTGTAGATGCGGGCGTACAAGCAACTGTATAACATGTTCTAATTATTTATCTAGAAATGTCTAAAATTGTCGATCTTTTTCTAAGTTAACAATATATAGGTCTAATAATATATAATATACTTCAATATGGGATTAAAGTCAGCAGCGTTTATATAGGCCTCCGTACGTGTTCATTCCAGTGTAATTAAAAATGGGTACTAATACCGTAAAAAATACGAATATTACCGTATTCGCATCTCTCAAAATCGCCGTTCAACTGGAGTCTTCTCCATAGCCTTAACGCATCACGACCGTTATGTTTCCTACAGCCCGAGTCTTTTATCGCTGGAACGGCGCAATTCAGCCGAATATACTGCCCGCTGAGATTAAATTTATTTTCATAGAGCATGAATAATTTAAGTTAAGACCTATAGGCCTATATGTATGTATATATATATGTATATATATAAATATATATATATATATATATATATATATATATATATATATATATATATATATATATATATATATATATATATAACGGTCAGTCGCTGCACTTTCCTCACTGTCTTTTTTGCGAAAAACTGATCTGTAAATGGTCAGCAGCTTGTATGCGTTACCGGCAAATTGAGAATTATTCTTCTCTAAATATGTGTCTATTGTAAATCCTTTTTCATGCAAATGGCTGCCGTAGTTGTCATGGGGTAATATCAATCCCGTGAGCTCATTGCAAAGTAGCGGCATTTTTCTTTTAACACTGCTAGATGAATTCTTCTTGGTGTATTAGATTAGCAGAAATAAACAAACCATCTTAGTAGAGACTGAGAATGTGGTGTGCGGCAACTTTAATGACATTTTGGTTCTTAGGGTTATCGTCTGGGCCACCATCAATCGTCAATAATAACATTGGTTTTACAATTGGATCAATGCCACTCTTTGTGATATCATGAAATTCGTGTAAAGTAAGTACATTTTTTTAATTTTTCGCATACGAAGTATACAAAAAGTAATGTAATTGTGCAAAAATAGACACGGAAAAACAAAGTTTTGCAATTTTGTCCATATGTCTGTACGCGTGTATGTATGTGTGTATAGGTGTCTGTGAAACGATAACTTGAGTACCGTTACAGCTAGGTAGAAGAAATTTCATATATAAGTATTGTTTCAGATTTAATTTTCTGCCTTCTGTCAAATTTTGAGTCCGTTTCGTTTACAAAAAGTAGTAATTTACGCTGTTTCCGATTTCTCAAAAAACGCATATCTATCTATCTATCTATATATATATATATATATATATATATATATATATATATATATATATATATATATATATATATATATATATATATATATATATATATATATATATATATAATTCTCTTCACGGGGACCATGCTAGACACCACCAACACGTAAATTCAACAGACCATATCACTACCACCCCAACCCCCACCAGTTTGGTGAGCTGTTGACAATCGTAGTGAAGGCTATTAGGGGCAGATAATATAGTTTTTAAACTATTTGAAACTAAGGGGAGATAATAACACGTTCTTCTTGCTTTATTCATTGTCGCATGAAAACTGTCGTCACAGACGGCTGATTTCACGGAGACGGGGTTCAGGGGGGGGGGGGGGGTGGAAAGTGAGGGTGAGGATAATCGTCCTTCACTAGCTACTTATAGTGTTTTAAATCAAAATATTTTCAGTCGCAACATTAGTAGTGTCGAATTCACAAATTATTAACTACTGAAAAATAGGAATTAAACTAAATAGCGGCGTATGTTACGTCTCGGGTCAGCTCGTGAATTTATAAAATACTAATATTTCGAACTATTATACACATATTGTTTGGCGTTCACTAGGTGCGCATTTATTTTTCTATGGGATTCTATTCTATTTTTAAAAGTTTAAAAGTAATTAAAAGTGGATTTAAAAAATCATGTCTATATCCTGAGTTGACATTCCCGTTGTGTTATAAAAGAACAAGTTGCATACTCGTGCTCCGTCACGATAAATCTTTTTTAATGTACCAACTTGGGGAAAAAAAAAATCAACACAATCACAAAAGAAAACACAAACACAAAAGAAAACACAAACACAAAAGAAAACACAAACACAAAAAACACAAACGAAAACACAAACGCAACACACAAGCACAAAAGAAAAACACAAACACAAAAGAAACACAAACACAAAAAACACAAACCACGACACAAACACAAAAGAAAAAAACAAACACAATGGAAACACAAATGCAAATACAAAAAAACGAATACACAAACACAACACTCATAACATAAACACAACTTAAATGCAAACATGAACGCATAGTGCTCACAGTCTAGCTCGTGGCGCCAAATCGCACCCAGTCCGAGCGCCGGCGGACGCGCTTGATTCAATTTAGTCAACAACTATAAAACCCCAGCTTGTCCACAAACCGAAATATAGAAATAATAATTAACAAACAGTACGTTCAGTGTATAAAATTAAATAAACCGGGAGTGATCTCTCCTAAACTTTCTCGAATATTCTTATAGAAAATAACAGGGGATGGGAACTCGGGCTATAGACATGATTTTTAATCCATTTTAAATACTTAAAGTTTTAAAAATAGAATAAAATCTCGTAGACAAATTAATTGCACACCAAGTGAACGCCAAATAAAAAAGCGCATAATAGTGCGCAATATTATTAGTACTTTTAAAATTTACATTAGTTTTTTGAGAAATCGGAAGTAGCGTAAATTACTACTTCCGGTCAACGAAATTACTAAAAATTTAACAGAAAGTAGAGAATTAGATCTTTTACTTACATGTGAAATTTCATTTATCTATCTGAAATAGTACTCAAGTTATAGGCTTTTGAAAAATTCAAAGTAGGAAAAGTACCACTTTCGGATATCGGAAAGCGCTCAAAAGTTGATACGGATCTACGATTTTGATAAAATACTTATGTATGAAATTTCATCAACCTAGCTGTAACGGTACTCAAGTTATCGTGTTTACACACGGACAGACAGACACACAGACAGACACACAGACAGACACACAGACATACGGACAAGATTGCAAAATTATGTTTTTCCGTATCAGTGAGGTGTAAAACGTCGAGATTTGTAAAAATCTCGATTTTTTTTTTTGCACGATTACAAGACTTTCTCTATACTTCGTATACACGAGAAAGTAAAAAGGCAGTATTTAAAATATCCGTGTTTTACCTACTATATTGCACTTTATCAATCCATGCATTTACATAACGTTTTTTATGAATCTTATTTTTTCAAGACTTTAAATTTTAAAAGTTTGCAATAGAGTTTCATGACTAAAACCATTGCGCACCTAATGAACGTGATGACACTTATATAATAGTGCCGAATAGTTGATTGAAAATTATAATTAGGTTAACAGTACGTTCAGTGAAAAATAAATAAAAGACTGCCTTTTATTCATCCATGCTAATAGCAGTGCGTAGCGAGGTCGGGTGTCACCCGGTGCGGCAATTAATGGTGTCACCCCCCCCCCCTAGAGGCATAGAGACCCTTCCCAGGGACAAACTTTCAAATTTTCGATTTGCATCCCCCCCCTCAAACTTTCGATTTGCACCCCCCCTCAAGTTATCGATTTGCACCCCCCCCCCCTCAAACTTTCGATTTGCACCCCCCCCCCCCTCGAGTTTTCGATTTGCACCACCCCACCCCCCCCCCCCTTAAACTTTCGATTTGCACCCCCCCTCGAGTTTTTCTCTATATATTTTGCTATTTTTTGCCTTGGTGTCACCCCCCTAAATGGTGTCACCCGGTGCGGTCCGCACCCCCCGCCCCCCCCCCCTCGCTACGCCCCTGGCTAATAGTAATATTCTAACAATAATGTCCTCTTACACTTCTGCAGAATTTGCATTCACATTTTGCTAATTATATTATTCCAAACAATAATTATCTTTTGGACTTCAGTAGATTTTGCATTATTTTTTTTTAGCGTGAGTTGAATTTATTTTTAAATTATTACTATTTAAAAGATTTTAATTAATTAGTTTTTTCGACCCGACTGTTAAAAATGTATCCTCTTTTTTTCTAGGAATCTAAATGAAAATAATATTTGACATTGATCCGTTTAATATGTATTTGCAATGTGGGTGTATTTAATATTTTCTTTACGTTATGCAAAAGAGTAAAAACAGTGGCAACTATAAAATAAATTTAAGTCGTTATTTAAACAAACCCTACTCTGTTTCTTATAATAAGACACTGCGATGCAAGTTAACTGATGTAATGTTTTCATAGTCATGTATGCATCGTTCTGCCTTTAGTTTAATGCTAATCCATATGGCAAAGTTTATGAGAAATTTCTAATTAATAAGATTGCTCTCCAACAACCCTTGGCCTATCAGGATTAGATCTAACATTCAGAGTGTTGCGTCGTCCATGGACTATCTTCAAATAAGCTTTCCCATTTCTTTTCATTTCGAGATTTCTGAGATGTTATTTGAATCAGATGTCTTCTCTTTAGTTTTTATTTTCCCAAATCACTCTTTCTCTGTTTCTTTTCTTTAAGCCACATGATATGTTCATGAGTTAACAGTCCACGAGTTTGTCTCTTATATAAACTGACTAGATCTAGATCGAAATTCTGAATCTCGATCTCTGTGTGTAGGTTTATCTGGACTGTAGAAAGTTTCTTCCAGGCGGACTCCCCCCCCCCACCCCCGAGGAAGGTTTACCCCCCCCCCCCCCCCCCCTGAACGAAATGGAATTTATATAGAAAATATATACTTTTAACCGTGTTCGCCATAACCATAACGTACGCATTTAAAATAAATACATTAAAACATATTATTTGTATCCACGATCAAAAATGGAATTTTTTTTATTATTAGACCTAACTGCTAGTTGAAAAGACTCACACAGACAATGTTAACTAAGCGAGATACAAGCCTAAACTAGCTTTACA